CTGTTGGCCTTGGTGAATGGCACTCTCTGGACAATATTCCAGTGGAGGTGAATGTTGTGACATGTAGAGATAATACTAGCATTTGAAAAATATTGGGGGAACAATGCTTACAAAGGTAGGGTAGTTGGCTGGTTACTGCTAAGTTGTATTGATACCCTGAAGAGGGAAAATGGGAGACAAAGGCTGTAAACAAGTAGTTGAAAGCTAAATATGAGAGTCAGAGAACCTAGGGGGTAGCTTACAGAGAGGCCCATCTCCTGCTGGGAGGCCAGACACAGTGGAACAGTAGGCTGAAGACCTGACTGTTAAAGTCCCAGAGCTCCAGGGACATTTTAAGTCTCAGTCAAGGAAGGTCAGCTGTGTGACGGTCAGGACCTGATGGGAAAAACCTGGAAAACTGAGGTAGGATAGGGACATTTGACTAGATGTCCTAAGAATATTGACTTTGTAACCTTCCAGACCCTAGAGAATTGCAGAAGTAGCACATCCCATCCCAGTAAAAACCAGCATTTCTGTAGCATCTCCTAGCACAGCAGAAGTCTCAGGCAACACATGATACACACGCAGCCTTCCCTTCCTACCTCATCTGGCTGCCAGGCTAATAAGTAGGGTTAAATCTCAGTTTAACCCAGCTGGAGATGTGCTGGGCCTTATAAGGGAGGAAAGGGACTATACATCGAATGAATTATACATATGACGTGGCATATACCAGCGGGAGTCAAGAAATTCCACTTCTGGTGGTGCTTGATCAATGGAGATAGAATGCACAACTGAATAAACCAGAATTCACTGACCTGGGGACCCTTTACCAAGCCCCAGGATTTAACATTTAGCAAAGACCCCAGAGGATAGGTAAACTCACAGCTAGGTAGCTTTTAGAAGCTTGGTTGATTCTCAATAAAGTAGAAATGTCAAGTTACCCTAGCAAAAGGAAGATGAAGGAAGTAAGCAGCTGACGGAAGTGGGCATGTGGCATTGATATAAAAGGTCTGAAGCCCACCAGAAGATTATGTTCCACAGGAGGGCCCAGAGAGCACACCATTCACTGAGGCCATTGAGGATGCAGTGGTGAGATGGACACCAGCACCCCTAAGAAATTCTGTAACAGCTTTCATCTACAGGCCAGAGATGTTGATACTAGAAGCAGTTACATAACTGGGTTGGTTAATTTCCATGGAGATGATGGGGCCTTGGAGTAATAGAGGCCAGATGGCAGCACTTGTCTGTCAGGATGTAATTATCATAATGATTGGCAAGGCCAGAGGGCAGCCAAGCCTGTTTGACCCACAGGGAGTTGTAGAGATGATTAATAGAGCATGGTGTCTCTAGGGGCAAGACAGATGGGCAGCTAACAAGTGTGTTGCTTTACCTCATAACCAAAGAAAGAATGGAGGAGCAGGATGCTGAGAATGGTTGTCTAATAAAGTCACAATCACTTGTTCATTCCCAGACCAGAAATAATTTTCACATCTGTAACCCATTGACTAAAGAAGGGGTTGGTGCCCTAGGAAGAAGGACCCTGCCACACCATGACAAGTATGTACCATGACAATACAGTCTGTATGCATGGTTCAAATGGATAAACTTGGCAGTTGGGGCCATCCTCAAATTGTGTCCCTGACCTCTGGAGTAAGAGCTATCAATATGGAAACAGTCAAATGGAAACCTGTGAAATTGTCCTCACCAAAATAGTAAATCAAAAACATTACCATATCCCATGGAGGGGTGTGGCAAAGATGAGTACCAGCATTAAAGACCTGAAGGATGCAGCAATGGTGGCTCCTATCCCATCTCCATTTCATTACTCTGGCCCCTTCAAAAGCTTAGCAGATCCTGGAGAATGACCGTGGACTATCACAATGCAAATAAGGTGTATCCTAGATTGTAACTACTATACCAGGCGTGGTATGCTTGGTTGAGCAAATATAGCACATATATACTGCCATTAATCTAATGAATGTATTTTATTCAACTCAAATCAGGAAAGAGGATCAAAAACAGTTTGCATTCACATGGATGGACAATATTCATTTAAAAATTTCCCTAAGGGCTATGTTAATTCTTCTGCCTTCTGTCATAGTCTAAAGAGATTTAAACCTTCAGGATATCCCATAGAACATCAGACCTATCCATTACATCAAGATATGATAGTGATTGAGCAGAAGCAAGAAGCTGTTAGCATGCTAGAGGCCTTGGTAAAATGCATGCACTCTAGACGTTAAGAGATCAAAGATTCAGGTGCCAGTCCCTTCAGTGAAGTTTTGAGAATCCAGTGATCAGGGGCATGCTGGGACATGCTACAAAGTAAAAAGACAAATTACTGTATCTTGAATTCTCTACACAAAGAAGGAAGCGAAGCATTTAGAAGGGCTCTTTGGCTTCTGGAGGCAACATATTCCAAACCTGGGAATATTCATTCCACTCAGATATAGCGTGATACAAAAGTCTGCCAGCTATGAGTGAGGCACATAAACTGCATAGTATGTAAAATGAGCTCTTCCTTCCCTTTATTCTTCACTTGGGGTTAGTCTTGCACTACGATCTGACTGCTGACCCAGCCTTTGCCAGGTCTCTTCCCATTTTCTATCATATGCAATATAGCCTAATAAACTTTTTACATGTCTCATCCCATTTTAGTCTCTAATTCTTAGAAGACTTGGACTAACATGAGTGCTTTAGAGAAAAAGTCACCTAAAGAATAAGGAATCATTACCATCTTTAAAAAAGAGGCTCTAGAGGAAACAAAAGGGAGGAACTGAATTTAGAGGAGAGAGTGGTTACATAGGGCAAAAAAAAAAAAATGACAAGGTATATGTACCAGTTCTTGTCATTCCAACGCTTTCCAATGTCGACTGAGGAGAAACCAGAACCAATGTTTGGTGTGAGGAAGAGTTAATCACAGGTGTCATTAGCATGACTTTGGTGGTGTTGACTACAAAGCCAAAGGTACAAGACACAGAATACAGTCAGCCACTATTAAAGTGTCATTAAGAATTGTGGTTCGGCCAGATAGGAAGACTGTTAAATAGATATTTCAACCAGGTAGGTAAAGATTAGTGAAGAAAGTTAGTTACTACTGGGTAGAGTTGAAATCTCAAATCACAGAGAAGTAATTAAACTAACTTTAATTTAGTAATTTAAGGGTCAAACTTGAACCTATTTGAAACCAATCTAGTCTGAAAACTCTGGGCATAACATTCTCCTTATTAGAATGACTATAAAAAGGGCTCAGCATGTCTGTCTCATGTTAGGAAGAACCATCCTGGCCATATTTAGCCAGCTGACTTTGAGTTCTAGTCAGAGATCTCTATGCTACAGGGGATCACAATATGACAAACCAAAATATGCCACTCTGGCATACGGATTATTTGAGTTGAAGACAACTGAGAAATAGCAAACACCCCAAAATATCTCTGCACTCGCCCACATTTGTCTAAAATTAAACATTGACTCTTAATCACCAGAGACTCTTACCAGCCCAAAGACAGCACTGAGGGGAAACTATATAAAATGCCTTACCAAAACAACCCTTATTTTCCATTATTTTCTCCCATATATTTACCATAGAAACTTAAAACCCTTTTCATTTGTCTTGTAACTTCTCTACATATCTATTGTTCTTTGTTAAAATACTATTCTACTATTCTGTATAAGCTCAAGTTCTAACGACCTCTTTGAGTTTCTAGTCATCACTGAGTTTCCCCCGCATATAATCTCACCGTACCTGTTAATAAACTGTTTTTCTCTTGTTAATCTGTCTTTTGTCAATCTAACTTGAAGGGCGCCAGCCAGAGAATCAAGAAGAGTAGAAGAAAAAGTTTTTTCAACTTCATCTGATTGGATACTTTATCTTGGTCATTATTTACTGACCCAGGAATCTCATCTCATTTGCAATGATAAAACAACTCCCTTAGTAGAGGCACACGTACCAGGAAATTAGTGCAATGTATTCTCAAGGGAGCCTCACTGGCATTGTCCCTTCAAAGGCCCTGTAGCTGATTTTGAATTCAAATTTTTACATTTATTTTTATTTAAAAGGAACCCACCCCCAATTGCATAAGTTTCAGTTCTCACAAAACCTGGACCTTCTCTGGAGGCTTATATAGTGGGATTAAAACATCTGATTTTTTTTCCCAAATGGAAGATCCATGTATTGGTGTCAGGTAGGCCAGTGACGTGTCCATATTTGCATTTTAGAAAGATTACTCTGGGAACAATACAGACAAAAGTATGAAAGAGGACCAGATCTGCAGGAGAAGCTATCAGGAAGCCATCCTTGTACTTCAAGAAAGAATAAAGATTGTTTTTTTATTTAATAAAAAGACTTTGTGCTTCCTTTGAAAGAGCAAGATTCTTGAGCATTTCTAATTTTACTTACAAAAAAATATTATTCTTCCTCCAAGAAGCCTAAAAGAGTCAAATCTTTTGCAGTATAATAATCTGTCCTTACCTTCAAAAAGTAAAACTATGAAGTTTTCATATTCAACAGTGCTAACTTATCAGCATAAGAAAAATAGCAAAAATTTGTTTTAAAATTGACTGTCAGATTGAAAATCAAGAATAAAACAGTTTTTCAGAGATCTTTTTAACCCCACAAGAGTGTCAAGTATACGATATGTTGCTGGATGGTAAACTCGATATTATAAAATGTATTCTAAGAGTACATATTTTAACATTAAATAAATTTAGAGTTAATCTGAAAGAACAAACATGATAATCGAGAAGACTGAGAGAATTAGAAGTGGGTTGTTCTATTAGAGAGTAAATCTTATTTTAAAGCTATGCAAACAAAAACAGTTTTTCAGGCATGAGCATAAGCAAAGAGAAATCTGCTCAAAGTTTGAAGTCTGGAAATGAACCAAATAAGTATAAACATTTCACATTAATGAGGAAAGAATGAGCTAGTATCTGTTTAGTCTGCTGTTTTTTTCACAGCACTATCGAGTGAAAGGAATACCATTAATTCCTATTCTCTGGGGGAAAAGTGGGGAAGATCTTACCTTCTTCCTGGGGGTTTAGATAACCACACAGTCTATGTGCCATCGACTGTCTACTTTTCCTCACAATGTTACAGTGACAAATCCACACTCTGCCTTAGGGTACTGGGGAGAAGGAAAAAAAAGTTTTACAGAGTTTGAGTATTTCTCTGAACTCTGCAGCTATATACATATATTTAAGTGTATACTGGGCATGTAGATCAGACACAATAAGTTGTTAGAAAGTCATAAAGATTTTAGTTTCTGCTCTTGATTTAGGGCTACTTTTGGGGTGAGTTCTTTTGAATGAACTTAAACTCATTCTAATTTGAATTCTTAGTGGATGGCCAGAGGGGCATACCTTCTCCAGATTCTGGGAATAACTATATATAGCAGACCCCTTGCTAAAGTTCCTAGGAAAAAAGTTAACTCATGTCCCTGAACACTTAAGCAAAAGCATCGGCCCCCACATTAGACACAAAGGAGAGGAGCCATCACCTTTGCTCTGAAGCTTAGCTCTCCAGGCAAGAGAGCTATCTCAATCATATTGGTTCTCCTACTAATTTCCCATGACTAATTCTTCCCAACTTTTCAGAGCCTATTTGAAAAATGGGACTTGAGAGAAAGAAAACAACATAGTCTATGGGGGAACAGAGGGGGCACAACCAACTCTGTCTTGCAGAGGGGTAGGATACAAGAAGTCTGGAGAGCCTTCTTCCAAAACATACTCTGCTTTTTTATATCCTAGTTTGTATTTGACAAGTTTACATGTGTATCCTGCACTAGAGTATGAGACGTTTGAGCACAGACACCAAGCTGGTAAGTCTTTGTATCGCCATGCCCAAGCAAAGTGCCTAACACATTATGTGTACTCAAATATTTGCTGCACAAAAAAACCTAGAAGATAATCTCTGTGGTTGTCAAAAGCAAAACACTAATCTCTGGATCTATTAGTTTGGGCTTTCACATTCACACCTTCAAAAAGAAAACAGCTCTGTCAAAATCTCACTAGATGCAAAGGCAGAATGGATTTCTTGCTCTATTTGTGAAGAAAAAGATGTAGCTATGGAGCATGAAATCATCTTCACTAAATAGCTAGGAATAAAAATAAGGCATTTGGATTTAATGTTTTATTACCATGTAATGAAATGGTTTGGGAAACAGGTTCCAAAGCCTCAAGACAAGGTGCCAAAAACCATTTGGGAAACAAGCCATCAGAAAGTCTGGCATATTTTGCACTGAGATGCAGAGCTGTACCCTGAAAGAGTAGCATCTAGCAGATTTTGCTTTTACTAGGTTCTAGGAAGCCCCGTTAATAATAAGCCTTTTCTTACGGCATTTATCGTTTACATTTAGTCTTGAATTTAATTTTCTCTAGGGGAAAAAAAAAATGTCATCTCAGACTGTAAAATAAATTGAATCTTCTTAATCTAGCCTTTAAAGAATAAATCTATTTCTATTTAATCTTCAAAACTGACAAATAAGATCAATTCTTCTTGTTAGTACCTGATATGTATCAAATCAGTGTTACCAACATACATGATGGAACAGAACTATCAAGAATGTTTTAATATTTGCAGTTACTTATCTGCTGTTTCCCCATCTGATACTTTACGCTATAATTGATCAATGGTTTATATCTTTACCAGCCTTTTTTTTTTTTTTGAAATTCAGCTTAGTTTAAGACCAGTTTCACTGCTTCAGTACACATGCCACATAAATTCAAGTATTGCACTTTAATGTCAACTATTATAGTAAAATCTGTCAGTGCCTACCTGGATCCCTTTTTACCAGGCTGATGCACCCATTCCCCAGTTGTTAATGTGGCCGCCCAGTGTTCACAATTGCATCCATCTCCAGAATATTACCTTTGGCCAACAGAAGCCACTTCACCCAAAGAAGCCTGAGACAGGCCACAACCAATAATCCAATGATGTGAAGTATAAAGGCCAGCTTTCTTGCTCCAAAGTGGGGCATCTCTGTGGTGCCACTGATGCCCCAGAGAACATCTCATGATGCCCGTCAATAAGTTCTGTTGAATCTCTTTCCTAACATCTATTACTTTCTTTCACATTTCAATTGCCACCATCCCAGTTCAGGACCATATTTCACCTGACTATTCAAACTGCCTTCTGAATCAATTTTCATCTTCCTATAGTCCTTTCTCTACAATATTACCAGAACACTCTAAGATGCAAATTTATTAATCTTCAACTCTCCTTCCCCAGCACGCACACCTCTACCTGAAACCCTTCAATAACCATCCCCAACCACTTACAAGAGACAGTAAAGTGAACTCAGTTCACACATGTACTTTGCTTCTCTCCCAAGAAATTGAGATCATGGAGCAAAACAAAGCCTGAAATATGTATAATATAATTAGATGGCATATGTCTACTATGAGAGCCAAAGTTAGCTAAAGCAGTTACCTGTAATCTTAGTAGAGTTAGAAGACTTCCATTAGTAGAGAAGAACTAGAAAATGAAGTAAACCCCACAGAATGGGTTATAAAACCACTTTCCTTTCTAAGTTAGAGAGTTTGTTATAGCAAGTTAGGACTTAGTGTGTCCCACTGGTGTTTTGGCCAAGAATTTCTTCTATAACTGGCCCAGGAATCTCTTGGCACGTTGCATGGGAAACATCACAGGTTTAGGTTGGGATGATGAATAATCCCAGGTGGGTATTATTTTAATCCTGAAAAACTGCAACATTAAGTTCAGTAATGATTAAAGTCAAATCCACAGTAGTAATAATTATGGTAAAGAATAATGTGTGCATATTTGCTACTTATGTATCCAATGTTTGAAAATGTAGCCTATTAGAGAAACAGACTGACATATGATTCCAGTTTATAATATGTAATTGAGTAATTGATTTAGACATTTGGTTTTACATTGAAATCTACATTTATAAACAATACTGAAAATACTTAATAGAACTTCTCTCCTCTGACCTTTTATTTTTATTTTATTTTTTTAGATTCAGGAGATTTAACATTATCTAGAATGGTTTGTCAGACAATATTAAAACAAATATAATAAATTTACAAACAATTTAAAACCTACTTAGGAATTTAACTTGTAAATCCCACCCCCCTTAAACCTGACTGTAACAAATTTACTACATTTACAAATTGAATAAGATTTGAATATGAAAAGAAAAAGGCCTCTCAATTTTGAACTGCAATGTATTAATAAATCAAATATCTTTAACAACTAAAGTAGTCTCCAAAACAATATTTTCTGGGTAGAAAGGTCATCCTCAAGAACATTAGGATTTCACATTGACATCCAAATCCAGGTTCAGATCCTTGCAAAGTCATAACACAGCAAAATTGGGCCAAATTCCTGCATGGAAAAAATATCCCCTCCTTGAGATGAGGCATGAATTTTCTAGTTCACAATAGACCCTCCCCAAATATCCCCCACACTCACATCACTCAGTCACTCATTTATCTTTACATTCCTGGTCCTTATAAAGGCATTTGCTATTTCAACCCATGCATCTAGAACATTGATTCTCAACCAGAGATGATAATGTTTCCCCGTGGCCAGCTGGCAATGTCAGGAGACATTTTGGGTTGTTAAAACTATGGATGGGCCATCTACTGGGTAGAGGAGTGCTGTTAAATACCCTACAATGCAAAGAACCACCCCTAACAATAAAGAATTATGCAGCCTAAAATGTCAAGAATGCTAAGGCCAAGAAATCCTCACCTAGAACACATTTAAAATCCTCCAACATGGCACAGAGACCTTGCAATAACCTTTCTGTATATCCTGGAAACTAATCCATCAACATGATATGGGTTACAAATATCTTTTTTATTTTTTATAGATTCTTCTTTTGTGTCTAAGTTCTTAAATTTTCATGAATTTTTCTTTAAAATTTGTTCATTTCCTTCAAGAAATCCTTCCCTACATTGAAGTTCAAGATACTCTATTTCGTTTCCTTCTAAACATCCTACAAGTATTTTACATTTACATTTCCAATTCATCTGGAATTTATGTTAGAATTCAGAGATGTAATTTGGTTTCCACATGGATAACCCATAGCTTCAATGGCATTTATTGAATAGTTCATCTTTCTCTTCTATTGGTAATACCAACTTTTCATTAAATTTTCATTTGTTTCTGGACTCTCTATTTTCTATTTATTCCTGTGATGTCATTTAAGTTATACTTTTATCAGGAAATTTACGATCTGACACCATGATTCCTGCCTCATGCTTATGTATGCATTTCAATATCAGTCCTCTTAGAATTTTTGTTGAAATTGCACTGAGGTTATAGATTGGATAAAGGTAACTAATTTTTCTCATTCATGAACATTGTATCCCTATTTGGATTTTTCCATGACTTTGAGTAAAATTTAATGATAGACTTATTCCTGGGTGCTATATATGATTTGTTTTTGAAGTTTGTTTTTCCAGTAACTTTTCTTCAGTTTGGATCTCATATACAGCACACTTGCTGCACTGTCTTAAGAGCTTGTCTACAGATTCTCTTGTGTTTTTTACTTAATCTTATCACCGGCAACAGTTTCTTCTGCAATACTTCCAATTTTTTGTCTCAGTATTGGCTCTGCTCTAGTCCAGCTTTGAAGAGTGGCTGTCTTCACCTTGTTTTTGGTTTTAAAAGGCATTGCCACTAATGTTTCATATTTAAATATGGCTTTTTTCTTTCTAGAATTTTTGCAAATGCTTTCTATTAAGGAAGTTTTGTCAATTAGTGGTTTTCTAAGTTTTAATCATACCTAATGGGTGGTACTAAGCCATTTATAACAAAGAATAGCTTTGTTTTTTTAAGCCTGCTTTGTCTTTTTGGAGGCCTTGTTCTTTTATTTTGAGATGCAGCTGGAAAGCCTTCTTCCATCTGTGAACCGGCCTCCTGTTCACCTCAAGCCTTGGTCAGTACCTTTCAGGGAAATCCATTTAGCTTAAACCACCTTTGACTGGGATGCTGTTCGGTTTTCAGAGATTAGCCCAGTCACAGATCTTAAGGGCCTTAAAAATTACTTCAATTATTTCACAAATAGTCTGCAAGAGATAAAAGTCGAAGTCAGAAGCCCAATTATAATTGTGGTCAACACAGAGCCAGGGATAAATCTCTAAGATTCTTGAAAGGAAGTATGAACATGCCTTAATATTCCATTCTCTTCAAGCCCCAACTTAACTCATTAGTCAATGAATGAGATAGTGCAAAAATACTAACACCATTACCTGAAAGCTTCCAAGTGGGTCAGACAGCTGGAAGAGGATTTGAGTGTGCGTTCTCATATATATGCAGAAATCTACTTCCATCTGGAAAAGAACCTCTTAAAGTGTTATCAACTACTGTGGGTAAAGAAAGATTCAGTAAAAATAATCCCTGGGGCCTTATAAAAATGAAATGATATTTCAGTGTTCTCTCCTGTCTTTCTGTGGCAAAAGCAGTGTTGAACAGTTGGCTTTCCCTTTTGTTTCATTCTTTCTGTGCTACAGTTACTGGGCGACACTATATTTTAGTCTTTTTCCTTCTTCACAACAATTAAGGTGCAAAATAATTCTACATACTGCTTCAAGACAGGCTGTATCATTGTAGCTGGGAAGGAAATGGCTAGGTTCTGGGAGAGGTGTTTTCTCCTCCCCTAATGTATGTATGGTGTTGGAGGGTCTCTCGTCAGCCAAAAAAACAATGTGTGACTATTTTATCCCGAGTGCTATATATAAGTTTCTGAAAATGTCAGAATGTAGGCAGCATGCCTTGAGTGAACATCTCTCTCCCTGGGTGTTACCAATTGACCTGTAAAATCTAACACCTTTTCGAGAGTCATTTAAAAAGTCACATGTTGCTTGTTGATTAACCAAGCACCCAAAGCATGTATCTGAGCTTTAATTTTTTTCAATCATAAAAAGCTATACAGGTATTTTTACTCTGCAAGTTATACAGGCATACCACAATATCCCCCACCCACACATGTGGTGGTTGGGGCGGGGATCTATGGGGGAGAAACACTGTTCTAACAACGAGAAGAAAAAGACCGATTTGATGGGGAGTAGAGTCAAATCCATTTTTCCACTCACCTTTATTAAAAGCAGCTGGTTAATGACTTGGAGTGGGCAAACTGTAATTTTTTCAATTCTCAGTGGCCTTCTGTATAAAATAGTTGGGTGGTTTTTTATATAAAATAGTTATTTTATGTATTTCCTTTCTTTGGTAAATAAAAAGTATTTGCTTTTCTGATTTTTCATTTTGATACCTTTATTAGTATCAGAAACAAGCTATGTCTAGAATGATAGTAAAATGAAAAGTGCTCTTCAGCCCATTCTAACAAAAACAAAAAATTACAGATAAATTTCAAACTTCAGTTATGTCAAAAATGTGACTTCTATATTCTCTAGTAGCAAATATGAAATCACAGAGCCCTCAAAAATCACATTATAAACACAAACGCATGTTCAACCTCTTGCCATAAGTTTTCTACTCCCAGAAAACTTCCATGCATCTGCCACTTACCTCATTTTTATGTAGCAGTTAGGAAAACTTGATACACAAGACTTCAGAGAAGTGGAAAGCTGTCAGTTACGTCCCCTTTCTTGCATTTTCTAGGTCAATAGTTGCAGAGTACAGTAGTCCGTAACCACACTTAGAGCTATAGAGCAGAAAAATAAATTCTTTTTATGATTACCTCCTTTATTTTGATTTTTACAAGGAACCCCCAAACTTTATACATGTAATGGGCTTAAAACAGATTAGGAGAAGGATGTGAGTTTAGAATTCCCGTTTCTGATATAAAACAAATCCTTCCCAGTGCATCCTTTTTAGCTCATCCCCTGCCATTCCTTCCCCCTCCCCCAATCAACAATCCCTTTCCTAATGTTGTTATAATAGCAAAGAATAACTCTAACGGTCTTATAATAATAGACTGTTAGATCAAATACAGCATTCCCTAATGAAAGACTAAGTTTAAGAAAAAAAGGAAAGAAACCTCCCGTTGGAAAGTTGCTGATGTAAAGGGAAACTTCAGGATACCAACTAGCTTTACAACTGGGAAAACTTTCCATTTTGAGAAGAAAACTAAAAAAGAAATTAGTGGGCTAGCTAGCATAGCCTTCAACACTGCCCGTCTTCCTTTTTCTTTAATCTTTTAAACTGCTACCCGCCGACCGCTCTGGGGCGTTTGGTAACCACCAGGTTCAACCCGCCTCCAGCCAGTGAAAGGACAGGTGGAAAGCATAGCAGAAACGCTCACGGACGTCCTCTGCCTTTAAGCAGCAAGGGGAGGAGGCGCGGCCGGACGTGGGTTGCTGGACGTCACGCCCAAAGAGGGGCGGGGCTGCGTCTCAGCCACGTCCCTCCTAAGAGGCAAAGGAAGGGGCGGGTTCTACGTGACGTGACGCAGAAAATCTGCCCTGGTTGGAGAGAATTCAGAAGAGATCAGGCGGGAAGGAGGCGGAGTCCAGTTGCCCTGGTGACGGGTTGCCCGGCGGTCGCTTGGTAACCGGTCGCGGCGGCCCTGGCTGCTGCAGCGCTGTCCACCGAGCTCTGTGGGCCGGAGCCCACTCTGAGCTGATTTTGTGTGTTTTGCGATGGCGGCCGCCGCGGCCGTGGTCACGCCGTCGGGTTTGGAGGATGGGGTATCTCGGTCCCGCGGCGAAGGGGCGGGGGAGGTGGTCGTGGAGCGGGGGCCCGGCGCGGCCTACCACATGTTCGTGGTGATGGAGGACCTGGTGGAGAAACTGAAGCTGCTCCACTATGAGGAGGAACTCCTCCGGAAGAACAACCTGAAGCCCCCGTCCAGGTGGGTGCCCTCGTCCCAGACGC